TTCTGAAGAAGGGTCTAGGCCCGAAACGTCAGCTTTCCTGCTCCTCTGATTCTGCTTGGCCTGCTGTGTTCATCCAGCTCTACACCTTGTTATCACTTAATTTTGATGGTTTCTGTTTAAATTTCTTCCCCACGGCACCAGATCACATGGATGTGTCTCATGCTACAGCTTAGTCAGTGTTGTCTTTAACAGGGGTAACTGGCAACCTATAAAACACATGCCGTCAGTCCACAGGAACAATGGCAGTGATGTGGTTTTCCATTCTGGTGCAGCACACTATTTCTCCACATTCCTGACCACTCACTCGCGCACCCCACTCTTCATCTAGCTTTGAGAAAAATGTCAACACTGCCCATTTGAAATAATCTTGAACAGATTCTTCAGTTATCCCAAGCCTCTCTCAGTCTTCCTCTGGAGTAGCCTGTGTAGTCCTGAGCACTACACCTAAGGAAAGATAGAACATTTTTCAATTGGCCTTGAAGAAGGCACAGGGCAGAATTAGAATTTGGTTAAAGGGTGAAACGATAAGGGCAGATTTCATAAACATCACTTCCATTTCCTTTAACATAGTTCTACAACTGTTTGATGGGCTGTACGATCTCCTCCTGCATGTATATTTTGACAAATCCGTGACCAGTTTGTGAAGGGTTCTGACATTTGATTCCACGACTTGCAGCATCAATAGAACGTTATTAAAAAATTGCAGCTGTGTCCTTCCTGCAACAATAAACATTTGAAAGTACCGCAAAGAAAAGCACCCTGCGGTTCAAAGCAATGCTTTAATGTTAAAATTTTCATCTTTGTGCTCAAATCCTTCTATAGCTTTTCCTCTTCCTAACTCTGTAACCTCTTCCAGCTCTATATCCATTGAAATTTCTGTACTCCTTCAATTCTGGCCACTTGCAGCCTGTGTCCTAAGCTTTTAAATTCCTAACTCAAAAACATTTCACCTCCCTCCCAATGTCTCCTGACTGAATATCTTCTGAATTTCACCGTATTTTTTCTCACAATGTTGCTACAAAGACATCTTGGGAAGTCTTACTGCATTGAGGCACTACATAAATGCAAATTGTTGTTGTCAGCAACAAATAGGTGTCAAATGAAAGCCAAAGATTAGGAAGGATAACCCAAAGGCATTGGTTTAGAGAAGGGCCATACAGGACGCAAGTTGATTTAAGAGAAAATTTGCAGACTTTGGGGTGGAGGCTGTTGAAGACCTCACAATTTGAAGAGAGACAACCTGTATAAAAGGCTGCAAGCAGAGAAGGAGAGAGTTTGGAGTTGGAGGTGCATTGAGGTCTTGTAAAGTTGGACTACTTCATCAATTGCCCCTTGCTTTGTAAACCTTCAAACCCCTACAAAATAAAAGAAACATGATCAGTCACAATGTTGAAATGGTCAATCAAACCCTAGCCTCCACAGCTTTTTGAGGGAAGAGTCTTGCATTTCCACTCCCATCTGTGTGAAGGAATGCTTCCTGACATCAGTCCCTGAAGTAACTGCAAAGGTTATCCATCAATATTCTGAACTTCCCTACTACCACCCCCCACCCCATTAGAGGAAATAGCCCCTGTCTTTCTCATTAAATCTTTAACTGTCTTAAAACATTTCAGGTAGATCATTCCTTAATCAGTTGTACTCAAAAGAATGTGAGTGCCCTGGCCTCTCAATTTAGCCTTTAAACTCCAAGTCTGATTCTTGGATTTCACAAGTTTTAAAATCTCCCCTCCCCCTACCGCATCCCAAAACCAGTCCAGCTCGTCCCTGCCTCCCTAACCTGTTCTTCCTCCCACCTATCCCCTCCTCCCACCTCAAGCCGCACCTCCATCTCCTACCGACCAACCTCATCCCGCCCCCTTGACCTGTCCGTCCTCCCTGGACTGACCTATCCCCTTCCTAACTCCCTACCTACACTCACCTTTACTGGTTCCATCCCCGCCTCTTCGACCTATTTGTTTCCTCTCCACCTATCCTCTCCTCTATCCCTCTTCTATCCGCCTCCCACTCTCTCCCTATTTATTTCGGAACCCCCTTCCCCTCCCCCTTTTCTGATGAAGGGTCTAGGCCCGAAACGTCAGCCTCTCTGCTCCTATGATGCTGCTTGGCCTGCTGTGTTCATCCAGCCCTGCACCTTGTTGTCTCGTAGACTCTGACCTAACCTTTTTAGAAACCTATAATTGTGAACTCTTGACCTTAGACAATCTCACAGCCCTGAGTTTTGAAACACAAACTTGGGCAACGCAGGATCCTTACAGTTCAGATAGAGTCTGCAGCGACCTCCTGAAGCGCATCCCCACTCCCACCCCCAGCTCCATCCCCATAACCGCATATTTAGCATGGCCAATCCATTTAATCTGCGCATCTTTTGGACTGTGGGAGGAAACTGGAGCACCCGGAGGAAAACCATGCTACTCCACACAGACAGTCACCCAAGGCTTGAATCAAACCCGGGTACCTGCTGCTATGAGGCAGCAGTGCTAGCCACTGAGCCACCCGTGTCGCTCCCATTGCTTCACCACAGGATTATGACCTTCTCTTTGTGACTTGCACTTTTCACCTCTGGCCTTTCACCTACAAGTCTCACTAAGTAAAATGAGAATGCCTGGCTCAATCACAGTAAACACCCTCTGTGGTCATTTGGATAAACCACACTAGCTACATCCTTACTTCATCCCCAGGGCATCCTGCCCCACAGGCTCACGCCTGTTCTTGTTGCTGCTGTCTTTCTTAAGGGTGAAGCCCTCTGGGAACCACAGCAAGCTCTGCTCCCTCTTGCGTCTTGCCACCAGCACGCCGAGGATCAGGATGACAGTGAGAATGACCGCAGCGACAATCATTAATGGCAGCAGGTTCATGGGGGGTGGTGGCGGTGACAGGCGCTCACCTGGGAGGGGGAAAACAGAAAGAACACAAAAGAAGTGTTAGAGAGGAGGAGGTAAAGCAAAATATTCATGACAGTTCCAAGCTGGGGCAAAAAGGAGGGGGGGTGAGAGGAATCAGGAAGCTCAATGCTCCTGATGATGCCACAAAGCGTCATCGTAAGGAAGCCAGTGATTTACGATGGTCAATTGCATTGATTAAACAAAAATATGTGCTTTCAACATCGGGAGACTGCTATTAAAAATGGCCTCAGAGATCCATCTGTGCCTGTACAATCACTGAGTCACAAAACAATGCCCGTGTGCTCTCAATTCTCACTGAGGGGGTCACACTAGGCTAAGGCTTGGGAAGTACTGGGCAATGGAGCTAATAGCGTTGACCATTACTGATGCCACTCCAGAATTTCTGGAGGTTTCAACAGCTCCCTTGTTCCTCTTGCTGAAACAGCTAATTATCCTGATGGACTGCTGAGTTAGCACCATTGGGATTGCCACTGTGTATACGATGGGCTGAAGGGCTAAACTTGTTGATGATATTCGACAGCTGCATACCCTTGAATGAGTCCTGTGAACATTCCTGTACGTGCTGAAGCCAGCACAATTAACCTGTTTTTCCGTAGTTGTGTTCTTTTCTGTGCCTTGCTGTTTGTTACACTGTATAAGACAGAGAGTTTCGTTCCAAATCGCTGGACTTCACCTCGGACCGGGATCTCGAACGGTGCAAGAGACCACCTAAACCCTCCAGACCAGCTGTTGATTGAGAGGTCCCCAACAGGCAGAAGGGCATGAGGCTTATTGATTTTTCCCCTCTCTTTTTCATTCTTTTTACTTACTTAATAAATGTTCCTTCCTTGTTTCGTCTTTTATTATTACATAATAAATGTTCCCATTTAAGCAGATTGCTGTTGTTGAGTCTCCTCTTAACGACATGTAACCCAATCTGAAAAGAACCGCTTGGATACACTCTGTGATCCAAGACACAATGCCACTTGGATTGTTACAGAACAGAGTCGGCGGGCTAAGTATTTTTGGTGTAATTAACAGCCAACAGCGCTGTTCAAACAGTTGTTGAATAGCAGTTAGGAACCATCATCCAAACTTTTTGCAAGTACAGGTGGTGCTCCATCTAGTGGTGGCATTGGCCACATACATGGCCTTAATGAAATCATAATCCCATGTCATCCCTCCACTTTCAGAACATTTAAACTCGGAATACACTTAAAAATGATGACATTTAAAAGTAGATCTCAATTCCCTATCCCAGTGAGCAGCAGAGGCTTGGTAATTCTATAAATTCAAGTTTGGGTTGGGCAGACCTTTGATCTATAAAGGAGTCCAAGATTGTGGGATCGGCATATCATAGACAGGAAACTGGGGTTAAGGCAACATTCAGATCAACCACAATCTTATTGAATGAGGGAGCAGGCTCAAGGGGCTGAATAGCCTGCTCCTGCTACTTATGATCTTATGTGGTCACCACTGTTTGGAAGCGGTAATGCCATCACAGCAGAGAATGTGCACGATTCATAATGAGAGAATTAGATTTATGTTTGGGAGCAAAGTGCTAGGGTTACTGAGCATCACAGCCACATAAACAAAGGTCTATAGTTATTAAACTCGACAAGCCTTGAGCGAGAACAGAGTCTGTAGGGTGTTGCGCAACACAGGATATTTTGGATCAATCAATATTTAAAACCAAACATTAGCTGTCCACGTAGGGGGCTGAGATTCAGAAAGGCATCTGAAAATCTATTACATTCACACATGGATTAGAAAGCAAATATGGACTTCTTGGGTGGGGCTAAGCAGGCCTTAAAGGAGTGAACATAATGGCCTGAATGGTCTTTTGCTCTTTTAAAGTGAAACAGGGTATTGTGTAGCATCAGGTGAACGAGATATGCAGGGGATTGTGATTTAGAAATCCCATTGTACAGTGTTCTATTAATTGGATACAGTCAAATCATTGCATTAACTTAGTTGTCCCGAGTACCAACTGCACCAATGATCACCATTTAGCTGGTAGGTTTACAGAGAGAGAACTCCTGCTTAGATTTCCAATTGAAAATAATTCTTAAGAAGCAGTTTCATCCATACTAAAGTCATCAGAGAGTGAGACACTTACTATCAACATCCTTGATGGGATAGGGGAAGTGCAGGTTGCCCACTGCAGACAAAGCTCCAATGTAAGCAGCTGCACTCTCTGCTGTTGGGAAACATTCACCTGCTCCTTGGACACACAGGCGATTATCGATCTCCAGGTTCACCTTTGACCTGTCAAGAGAAAATACAACCTCAGACTGTATCTGTGTAATGGGACAGATCAAACAACACCATTCACAGGCTCCCACTGACAGACTGGCACTTGCTTCTCTCACTGCAATTTGCTTATACATCGTGCGTTTCCCCCTCTTTTGCTAGAGTCTGCCTCCCCCATTCTCACCATCTGAATTCCCCACCCACTCCCCCTTGTTTTATCTCCCTTTAGTCTGCCTTACTCCTTGTCTGCTTCCTGCTTTCCCTCTTGTCCAGCTGCTTCTCTTCCCTTTGCCTGATCTCTCCCCAATTTTCTTCGTCCTTGCAGTTTCTATCTCTCTGGATAGAGCTCATGTTTAGGGAGCCCTTGGTCATGGTCTGGGAGTCAGGGTGTGGTGGTGGAATTCAAGCTCCACCAACGGTAACAATCACACAGCGGGATGCTGAAACCTCTTACCCAATGATTTCCTGTTCCAGTTCCCGGGTCACCCTGCGCAGTGGTGCTGAGCGCTTCTTGAGTTGGGAGCTGCTTCCGTAGTATGGGTAGATCATGGCCTGCCCATTGCTGTCAAGTTTGAAGCGCAGGGTGGCATGCAGGATCGAGCCCAGTTTCTGCAGGAAGTTGGTGCTGCTTTTCAGCAGCTCATCAGGTGGCAGCAGCACAATGACAATCAGGGTCCCTTCAGCCAAGCGCTCAGGCACATCAGGGGCACAGTCCAGGCCATCCCAGGCACATTCCTCGTTGTTGCAGCCCTGGTCGCAGAGTTTGTCGGCATAGTGATCAGCACAGTACTTCTCATATAGCGGACTGGTGTAAAAATAAAAACACAGATTAGTGACGATATTTGAATGGTTATTTCATCTCATGGTCTGGCAAACAGACCTCTTGTGGCACTGCTTATGGATCACACATTATGATATAAAGAACAAGAGTATATACTATGTAAGAGTGCATCAGTGTGCTTGTGTATATGCATTTGATTGCGCATGAGCGTGTGTATACACTGAAGAATGGTCACTCATGTGTTCCCAACTGCTTTCACTTGTGTATAAGTGGAACATGTTCAGAGGAAGGGGAGAAAACAAGAGATACCAGGCCTGCAGTGTGCATTATGTAACTTACTAAAGACTTACATGTGACTCCCAATGTTGATCCATCATTATGCATTTCAGTGGCAATTAAATTGTTCATTTAAACTTTTACTAACACTGTACTTGTGAGAATGTATCATTCAACTAACAACTGTTTTGGTAAATGCCTTCAAAATGTTGTTGAATGAGCCTCTATCTTGTTTTTCATTGTTATTGGCACTTGAGTAACAGCAGTGCAACTTATGGTTGTATCTTTTATTAATTGTTATTAAAAATGGCTATCCTCATTATTAACGTTGCTAACCTTTGAACAAATGAGGCAAGAAAATAAATATCCCAGGAAGGTAACAAAAACATCTAGCCAGTAACTTAGGTGAAGAATAAATTAAGGTTGACCTAAATAAAGACTTCTGAGAGGACATTGCTGTATTCTAGAGATGCTATGGTGCTTGAGAATAGAAAATAGGAACCAGAGTAGGCGTTCTAGGAATAGAATGTAGCAGGACAAGAGCTAAACATAAGAGAATTTAAACAGTGATAACAAGGTGTAGAGCTGGATGAACACAGCAGGCCAAGCAGCATCAGAGGAGCAGGAA